CTTTTGTTGTCCACCTGGACCTCGTCGGACCCCCCGTATCGCTTGGTCGATGCTCGCGTCATGACCCCAGGTCGACGGGATCACTCGTTGAGTTTAAGCATATCAATAAGCAGAGGGAAAGAAACTTACCAGGATTTCCCTAGTAACGGTGAGTGAACCGAGAAGAGCCCAGCTTGAGAATCGGGTGCCTCCGACATTCGAATTATAGTTTGGAGAAGCGTCCTCAGCGACGGATCGGGCCCAAGTCCCCTAGAAAGGGGCACCGTAGAGGGGGAGAGCCCCGATGTGCCTGGACCCTATCGCACCACGAGGCACTGTTCATGAGTCAGGTTGTTTGGGAATACAGCCCCAATCGGGTGGTAAATTCCATCCAAGGCTGAATACGGGTGAGAAACCGATAGCGAACAAGTACCACGAGGGAAAGATGAAAAGGACTTTGAAAAGAGAGTCAAATAGTGCTTGAAATTGTTAGGAGAAAAGTGGATGGGGGTCGACGATGCGCCCCAGTCTGATGTGGAACGGTGAGAGCCGATCCATCGATCGGCTCGGGGCATGGACCGACGCGGGTCATGGCGATGGCCTAAGCCCGAGCTTTCGACGTGCCCACGGAGATGTCATCGTCGTGATCATGGAATGCAGCACATGTCGTCTCGGCATGCCTCGGCACCCGCGTGCTCCTAGCATTAGCCTACGGGCTCCCCATCTAGCCCATCTTGAAACACGACCAAAGAGTCTGACATGCATGCGAGTCAACGGGCCAAAAAACCCGTAAGGCACAAGAAAGCTGATTGGTGAGATCCCTTACGGGTGCACCGTCAATCGACTTTGATCTTTTGAGAAGGGTTTGAGTGCGAGCATGCCCGTCGGGACCCGAAAGATGGTGAACTATGCCTGAGTGGGGCAAAGCCAGAGGAAACTCTGATGAAGGCCCGTAGCGATACTGACGTGCAAATCATTCGTTTAACTTGGGTATAGGGGCGAAAGACTAATCGAATCGTCTACTAGCTGGTTCCCTCCGAAGTTTCCCTCAGGATAGTTGGAGCCCCCGTCGAGTTCTATCGGGTAAAGGTAATGATTAGAGGCATCGAGGGCATAACGCCCTCGACCTATTCTCAAACTTTAAATAGGTAGGACAGCGCGGCTACTTCGTTGAGTAGTGCCAGGGAATCGAGAGCTCCAAGTGGGCCATTTTTGGTAAGCAGAACTGGCGATGTGGGATGAACTAGAAGCTGGGTTATAGTGCCTAACTGCGTGCTAACCCAGAACCCACAAAGGATGTTGGTCGATTAAGATAGCAGGATGGTGGTCATGGAAGTCAAAATCCACTAAGGAATGTGTAACAAGTCACCTACTGAATCAACGAGCCCCGAAAATGGATGGCGCTTAAGCGCGTGACCTATACTCGATCGTCAGGGCAAGGGCCAGGCTCCGATCAGTAGAAGGGTGTGATGGTGACCACAAAACTTGGGGCACGAGCCCGGGCAAAGCGACCATCGGTGCAGATCTTGATGGTAGTAGCAAATATTCAAATGAGAACTTTGAAGGTCGAAGAGGGGAAAGGTTCCATGTGAACGGCACTTGCACATGGGTTAGTCGATCCTAAGAGACGGGGAAGCCCATCTGACAGTGCATCCCACACGAGTTTCGAAACAGAATCAGGTTAAAATTCTTGAACAGGGATACGGTGGCTAACGGCAACGTTAGGGAGTCCGGAAACGGCAACGTTAGGGAGTTCGGAGACGTCAATGGAGGCCTCAAAAAGAGTTATCTTTTCTATTTAACGGCCTGTCTACCCTAGAAACGACTCACTCGAAAGTAGGGTCCAGCGGCCAGAAGAGCACCATACGTCACGTGGTGTCTGATGTGCCTCCGGTGGCCCTTAAAAATTTGAAAGACCGAGTGCCGTCTGCCCGATCGTACTTATAACCGTATCAGGTCTCCAAGGTAAACAACCTCTGGTCGAGGAACAATGTAGGCAAGGCAAGTCGGTAAAATGGATCTGTAACCTTGAGAAAAAGATTGGCTCTGAAGGCTGGGTACGGGGGTCCCAGTCCTGAACCCGTCGGTTGCTGGCGCACTGCTAGAGCTATTCCCGTGGCGAGAACTGGTCATCGCATGTCGACTGTGGGACGGACTGAGAACGGCTCCCTCGGGGGCTTTCCCCAGGCATCGAACAGTCGACTCAGAACTAGTATAAACAAGGGGAATCTGACTGTTTAATTAAAACAAAGCATTGAGATGGTCCCTGTGGATGCTTATGCAATGTGATTTTTGCCCAGTGCTCTGAATGTCAAAGTGAAGAAATTCAACTAAGCACAGGTAAACGGCGGGAGTAGCTATGACTCTCTTAAGGTAGCCAAATGGCTCGTCATCTAATTAGTGATGCGCATGAATGGATTAACGAGATTCCCACTGTCCCTGTCTACTATCCAGTGAAACCACAGCCAACAGAACGGGCTTGGCAGAATCAGCGGGGAAAGAAGACCCTGTTGAGCTTGACTCTAATCTGACTTGGTGAAATGACTTGAGGCAATAACAGGTTTGTGATGCCCTTAGATGTTCTTGGCCGCACGCGCGCTACACTGATGTATTCAACGAGTCCATAGCCTTGGCTAATAGGCCCGGGTAATCTTTGAAATTTCATCATGATGGGGATAGATCATTGCAATTGTTGGTCTTCAACGAGGAATTCCTAGTAAGCGCGAGTCATCAGCTCGCATTGACTACGTCCCTGCCTTTGTACACATCGCCCGTCGCTTCTACCGATTGAATGGTCTAGTGAAGTTTTCAGATCGCGATGATGTGGATGGTTCACCGCCCATGACGTCGTGAGAAGTCCACTGAACCTTATCATTTAGAGGAAGGAGAAGTCGTAACAAGGTTTTCATAGGTGAACTTGCGGAAGGATGACCCATGGATGATCCACTCGACGGACGACCCACAGACTCATTAACGAAACATCGAGGGGGCAAGGGTGCCCCTATGCCTCGAGCCCCTTTCGACCCCAGGCGGGCGTGACGGTAGATTCATCCCACCTACGGGGCGGGCAAAACGATAGGTGTCAGCTCGTTCGTTGTCGAACAACGAACCCCCGACATGAATCGTGCCAAGGAACCAAAACGAAAGTGCGAATCACGCCAAGGAACCAAAATGAAAATGGAGCACGCACGCCATCGCCATCCAGCTCGTGGTACATGCGCGGGCGGTGCCGCGACTCCTTTTGTCGTGAATAAACGAAACAACTCTCAGCAACGAATATCTCAGCTTTCACATCGATGAAGAACATAGTGAAATACGATACTTGGTATGAATTGCAGAATCCCGTGAACCATCGAGTCTTTAAACAGAAGTTGCGCCCAAAGCCATTAGGCTGAGGACACGCCTGCCTGGGTGTCATGCACCATCACCCCCCCTCCAACCCTCCGCTCGTCAGGCTCCGAGGGAAGAGAGCAGGTAGAAGATGGCCTCTCGTGATCAGTCGATCGCGGTTGGCCCAAAATTGAGTCCCCGGTAATGACAGCGCCGTGACCATCGATGGTAGAGCTCCCGACGTGCCTCATCCCAAATGATGCATGCTCGTTGTCCACCCGGACCCACTCGGACCCCCCGTATCGCTCGATCGATGCTTGCATCGTGACCCAGGTCAGGTGGGATCACTCGCTGAGTTTAAGCATATCAATAAGTGGAGGAAAAGAAACTTACCAAGATTCCCCTAGTAACGGCGAGCGAACCAGGAAGAGCCCAGCTTGAGAATCAGGTGCCCCCAACATTTGAATTGTAGTTTGAAGAAGCATCCTCAGTGGCGGACCGGGCCCAAGTCTCTTGAAAAGCGGCATCGGAGAGGGTGAGAGCCCCGTTGTGCCCGGACCCTGTCACACCATAAGGCGCTGTCCGCAAGTCGGGTTGTTTGGGAATGTAGCCCTAATCGGGCAGTAAATTCTACCCAAGGCTGAATACAGGCAAGAGATCGATAGCGAACAAGTACCGTGAGGGAAAGATGAAAAAGACTTTGAAAAGAGAGTCAAAGAGTGCTTGAAATTATCAGAAGTGAAGCAGATGCGGGTCACGGCGGTGGCCCAAACCTGAGCTTTCGATGTGCCCACAGAGACATCATGGTCGCGATCATGCAATGCAACACGCACCATCTCGGGGTGCTTCAACACCTCACCTGCTCCCAGCGTCGGCCTATGGGCTCCCCATCCGGCCCGTCTTGAAACATGGACCAAGCAGTCTGACATGTGTGTGAGTCAATGGGCCAAAAAACCCGTAAGACGTAAGAAAGTTGATTGGCAGGATCCTTCACGGGTGCACCGCTGATCGACTTTGATCTTTTGAGAAGGGTTCGAGTGCGAGCATGCCCGTCGGGACCCGAAAGATGGTGAACTATGGCTGAACGAGATGAAGCCAGAAGAAACTCTGGTGGAGGCCCGTAACAATACTGACGTGTAAATCGTTCATTTGACTTGGGCATAGGGGCGAAAGACTAATCAACCGTCTATTAGCTGGTTCCTTTCGGAGTTTCCCTCAAGATAGCTGGAGCCCCCGTCGAGTTCTATCGAGTAAAGGCAATGATTAGAGGCATCGGGGGCTGCTTCATTGAGTAGTGCCATGAAATCAAGAGCTCCAAGTGGGCCATTTTTTGTAAGTAGAACTGGTGATGCAGGATGAACCGAAAGTCGGGTTATGATGCCCAACTGCGTGCTAACCCAAAACCCATAAAGGGTGTTGGTCGATTAAGATAGTAGGATAGTGGTCATGAAAGTTGAAATCTGCCAAGCAGTGTGTAACAACTCACTTGCCAAATCAACTAGCCCCGAAAATGGATGGCACTTCAACGCATGACCTATACCCGGCCGTTGGGGCAGGGGCAAGGGCCAAGCCTCGATGAGTAGGAGGGCACGACGATCGTCGTAAAACCTAGGGTACGAGCCTAGGCAGAACGACTGTCGGTGCAGATCTTGGTAGTAGTAGCAAATATTCAAATGAGAACTTTGAAAGTCGAAAAAGGGAAAGGTTCCATGTGAATGGCACTTACACATGGGTTAGTCGATCCTAAGAGACGGGGGAAACTCGTCTGACAGTGTGTCCCATGTAAGCTTTAAAAGGGAATCAGGTTAAAATTCTTGAACCGAGACACGACGGTTGACGACAACGTTAGAAAGTTCAGAGACATCAGCGGGGGCCTCGGGAAGAGTTAGCTTTTCTGTTTAACGACCCACCCACCCTGGAAACGGCTCAGTCGGAGGTAGGGTCCAGTGGCCGGAAGAGCACCGCACGTCGCATGGTGTCCGGTGCGCCCCCGATGGCCCTTGAAAATTCAGAGGATCGAGTGCCATCCAAGCCCGATCATACTCATTACCGCATCAGGTCTCCAAGGTGAACAGCCTTTGGTCGATGGAACAATGTAGGCAAGGAAAGTCGGTAAAATGGATCCGTAACCTCAGGAAAAAGATTGGCTCTGAGGGCTGGGCATAGGGGTCCCAGTCCCGAACCCATCAGCTATCGGTGCACTGCTTGAGCTACTCTCACGATGAGACGGGTCACCGCATGCCGACCGAGGGATGGATTGGGAACGGCACCCTCGGGGGCCTTCCCCGAGCATCGAGCAGTCGATTCAGAACAGGTATGGATAAGGGGAATCCGACTGTTTAATTAAAACAAAGCATTGTGATGGTCCCTGCAGATACTCACGCAATGTGATTTCTACCCAGTGCTCTGAATGTCAAAGTGAAGAAATTCAACCAAGCGCAGGTAAACGACGGGAGTAACTATGACTCTTTTAAGGTAGCCAAATGCCTCGTCATCTAATTAGTGACGCGCATGAATGGATTAACAAGATTCCCACTATCCCTGTCTACTATCCAATGAAACCACAGCCAAGGGAATAGGCTTGGCGAAATCAACGGGGAAAGAAGACCCTGTTAAGCTTGACTCTAGTCTAACTTTGTGAAATGACTTGAGAGGTGCGAAATGACTTCGATTCGTCCCTCCCCTTTCCCTCACCGACCTTTCTTCTTTTCACGTCACCCCCATCCGAGGTTGGTTATGACCCAGGGCCTTCCGTCCTTCGGTCCCGATCGAGAATGAACTTCCCTCGCCCCAATCAGCCCACGAAACGAGCGTGTGGGCACTGAACCGATCGCGGGGGCAGGATGTGCGAGCCAAAGATCTTGCTACAGGTCCCCCTTGGTTGTTGCCGTAAACGCCCTCGACAGCGTCTGGCCCTTGGTTGGTCAAGACTAGGAACGCACTACGTATGTCTAAGTCAACCCATGAAACGAGCGTACGGGTACCCAGCCTAACTGAGAGGTAAAATGTGCAAGCTGAGGATCGACTCGATCCCCTTTTGTGTGCAACAGATCTCACTACGAATCTCTCGGTCCGACTGAGGCTTAGACTAAGAATGAACTCTGTATGCCTAAGTCAACCCACGAAATGAGCGTGCGGGCACTGAGCCAGCCAAAGAGGCATTATGCGTAAGCCGAGGATTGACCCAGTCCCCCTCTGCGTGCTATCGATCCTGCTACCTCGGACACCCTCGGTCTGGTCCAATCATAGACTAGGAATGAACTTCGTATGCTTAGACTGGGAATGAACTCCCTACGCCTAAGTCAACCCATGAAATGATCATGCGGGCACTGAGCAAGCCAGAGAGGCAGAATGCGTAAGCTGAGGATCGATGCAGTCCCCCTTTGTGTGCTGTCGATCCTGCTGCGGGTCTTGCTACCACAACGTTCGGTTCGGTCTGATCTTAGATTAGTAATGAACTCTATATGCCTAAGTCAACCTACAAAATGAGCGGGCGGGCGCTACGCTTGCTAGAGAGGTAGGATGCGTAAATCGAGGAACAGCCCGATCCCCCTCTGCATGCTATTGATCCTGCTACCTTGAACACCCTCGATCTAGTCCAATCTTAGACTAGGAATGAACTCCATATGCCTAAGCCATTTTATGGCCCATGAATTCATATGAGCCTTCCCCAACACCCGCGCACCACGCGCGGGTGTCCTGAGCCAGGGTCGAGAACCAATGCGTGCCATGACCGGGTGGTAGGTAGGTTTAGGCACATCTTCATATTTCTACCATGCCAATGCCATTTTTATGGCTTGTAAATTCATACAATGGTCCCTTAAGCCTTCATGTGAAGTTTCATGGCAAGATGACTCGTTTTCTGTTTTTCATGATTTTCAAAACTTTTTTACGGTTTGAGATTTTTAAAAAATTTTTTAGAAGGCGTTTTGGCCCCAAATTTGGTAGACGTGATCCTTGTATTTTTTTTGGTATGCACAAAAAAATTCAGCTAAAAAATCAAAGTGGAGAGGATTTTGTGACCATTTGAAAAAAGTGTCCCTATTTCGGACACTTGAATGGCTACTGGCAGCAAACCTATAAAATCTCAAATGCTCTTTAAGGGGGTGTTAGTTCTCAAGGTTTGATGAGGGATAGGGGGCCAATATAAGGGCCAAGTACCAGCACCCATCGCAC